GGTCGGGGAGGGGCTCATCGACACGGCCGTGAAGACAGCAGAGACTGGTCAGTCCCAGGACCCCCTCAAAACCCTCCTGAACCTCCTGAGATACCTCCTGGATCCTTCTAGAACCCCCACACCCTCCTGAGATGCCTCCTGGATCCTTCCAGAACCCCCAAACCCTCCTGAGATACCTCCTGGTTCCTTCCAGAACCCCCAGACCCTCCTGAGATACCTCCTGGAGACCCCCAAAACCCTCCAGAACCCCCAAACCCTCCCGAGATACCTCCTGGATCCTTCTAGGACCCCTAAACCCTCCTGAGATGCCTCCTGGATCCTTCCAGAATCCCCAGAACCTCCTGAGATGCCTCCTGGATCCTTCCAAAACCCCCAAACCCTCCTGAGATACCTCCTGGATCCTTCCAGAACCCCCAAACCCTCCCGAGATGCCTCCTGGATCCCCCCAAACCCTCCTCAGATACCTCCTGGATCCTTCTAGGACCCCCAAACCCTCCTGAGATGCCTCCTGGATCCTTCTACAACCCCCAAACCCTCCCGAGATACCTCCTGGATCCCCTCAAACCCCCCAAACCCCCTCGAGATACCTCCCCAACCCTTCCAGGAGCCCTCCAGGGGTGACCAGGTGCCCTTTGGCCCCTCCTCAGGCTACATCCAACGCCGACTCATCAAGTCCATGGAGTCAGTGATGGTCAAGTACGACGCCACGGTCAGGAACTCCATCAACCAGGTGGTGCAGCTGCGCTACGGGGAGGACGGGCTGGCGGGAGAGAGCGTCGAGTTCCAGAACTTGGCCACCCTCAAACCCTCCAACAAGGCCTTCGAGAAGAAGTGAGGGACCTCCCAGCTCTGCTGGGACCTGGGCTGGGATGGGGGGATGGCCTGGAATGGGGTGGGACCCCCCCCTAAACATCTTGAGGTTCTTGAGAGGCTCCTTCCGAGAGGTTGGGGTCCTCAAGCTTCTCCTGCCCAACCTGGGGCCCATGTTGACACCTCAAACCTTCTCTTACCCAACATGGGGCCCATGTTGATGTCCCTCCTCACCAAGATGTCCCCACCCTGATGCCCCCAAACCCCCTGCCCAACGTGGGGCCCATGTTGATGTCCCCCAAACCTTCTCCTGCCCAACCTGGGGCCCATGTTGACACCCCAAACCTTCTCTCACCCAATGTGGGGCCCACGTTGATGTCCCTCCTCACCAAGATGTCCCCACCTTGATGCCCCCAAACCCCCTACCCAACGTGGGGCCCCCAAACCTTCTCCTGCCCAACATGGGGCCCATGTTGATGCCCCCAAACCTTCTCCTGCCCAACATGGGGCCCATGTTGATGCCCCCAAACCTTCTCCTGCCCAACATGGGGCCCATGTTGATGCCCCCAAACCTTCTCCTGCCCAACATGGGGCCCATGTTGATGCCCCCAAACCTTCTCCTGCCCAACATGGGGCCCATGTTGATGCCCCCAAACCTTCTCCTGCCCAACATGGGGCCCATGTTGATGCCCCCAAACCTTCTCCTGCCCAACATGGGGCCCATGTTGATGCCCCCAAACCTTCTCCTGCCCAATGTGAGGCCCACACTGATGTCCCCAAACCTTCTCCTCACCAAGATGTCCCCACCTTGATACCCCCCAACCTTCTCCTGCCCAACATGGGGCCCATGT